GATCTTTACATTCCCAAACACACAGGACAGGGAGAATCCAACTGGAGATTCCATGGGATCAGCTCCCCTGGAGGGATCATCACACACCCAAACACACAACACAGGGAGAATCCAACTGGAGATTCCATGGGATCACCTCTCCTGGAGGAATCCTCACACACCCAAACACACAATACAGGGAGAATCCAACTGATTCTGTGGGTTTGAAACTCGATTGTTGCAAAAGAAATGCTTGAGGCATAAATCAGATTTCAAAAGGATTATGGGGAGTTCAAGGAAAAGAGATTTAGGTCTTTGTTCCTCAGCACAGTCAGCTTTACTCTGCTCCCTCACAATGGTTAATGCACTGCTCTGGGCAGAGCCTGAGTGAGCCAAAGAGAACTGACAGGGAAATCAGCTGAGAGCATTTTCAGGAAAGCCTGGAGAGCCCAGAGAAAAGTGGAGTGCACAGAGAAATGAAAAAAAAAAAATAAAATAAACAACTCCTCTAAGGACAGCTCCCAGCAAAGCATTTTATTGTTTTAACATTTCAGTCAAAGCAAGGTGACTCTGACACCAACTTTTCCTGTAAATAAGTTAATGCAAGTGTTACCACTATGCCTTAATGACATCTAACACACCAGGCTCATTAATTGAGGGACAAACTTCATCAGGGAGCATGACTGAGGCAGGACAACCACAGAATTAAGCAGTAATTAAGTACCTGTGTAACAGGTTCTATAACCACTGAGCTGCTGACCAAAGAATATGTGTCCTAAATATATTCTCTGTATTAAAACCCTTCTGATACTTACATTTCAGTGCTATTAATCCTGCTGAACTGTAAGATTACTTTAAATCTATTAAATTACTATTAAATCTCTCTAAAAGCACCAAGTTACAAGTGGTTTTCCCATACTGTTCATGAGAAGACTTAAAGCAAAGATTATCATAAGTTTTCTTCAATTTGATTTAACTGAAACTCTTCCTACTCATAAAAGAAAACCCAAGCAGAGAGACTGATCAAGGTCTCACCAGTAGAGGGTTCCTAAAAGTAAAGACCAAACTGAAGACTTCTTAAAGAAGCATCTTATGGGTCCCTGGTTGTCTGCACTGAAAAAATATTACAGGTTAAGTGACCTTTTTCACTGTCAAATGAATGACAGAGCAAGAAATCAAATCCAGATTCCTCAGCCCTTTGCTGGTACCATAATTATCAGTGAATCTTCCAAACACTAATTATGCTTCAGCTCACACCAGTACTGCAGGAGAATAAATAATTTCCACTTTCACAAGACAAAAAGAGAGGCTCAGAGGTGAAATGAGTTGCTGAAAGCAAAAGGATGTGAGGAGGGGGAGTCATGTTTCTTCTGAAAATCTGAAAACCATCACTGAAATATCTGCTGAGCTGGAGGAACCTTTATAGATTACTCAGGTACAAGATTTTAGCTTAGATCAGTGGGATTTCACCTTTTTTCCAGCCTGCACATTCCCAAATGTTTCCCCTGCAGCAGAAAAGTTCCAAGAATGAGCTCAAGGCTCTGTCACCCGTCGGGACTGAAAACACCACTTTGGGTGAGAACCAAAAACCCAGGGAAAGCTGCCTGGACAAACCTCACCTTGTCGTGCTCATCGATGGAGCTGAGGATGACCTGGGCAGCATCCTTGGCAATCTGGAGCTGTGTCTCTGTCACAGAGGCCCCGTGGTCCACGATGACCACGATGTGCTTGGACTGGGGGCGAACGGTCGAGACGTAGACGGGCCTGAGGAGGGACAAAACCCAAACCACCATCACCAAACCCTGGATCCCCACTGCAATGCTCACAAGTGGAAAAGAGGCAGCAGTTCAAACACCCACCTGCTTGCAGACAAGCAGGAAGAAACAATGAATTAATTATAGAAGGAATTTTTTCCCTTATGAAAACTTGTGCCGGGAAAGGTCAGCTGGGAATCTGAACGTGCAGAAATGCCCCTCAATTCCTGAATTTTTTAACCTAAAGCAGCTTCTTCTCTCTCTGTCACAGCAGGAGCTTTCAGGAATAAATCTTGTTGCTTACACAGCAGCAGTGTTTGGGATCACTGCAGTTCACACCAAGGTTTGAATGAAGCAAGAAATGCCTCCTGGTAAATCCTGGCTGCTGGGAACTTCACCCACACGTGAACTGGGTGCAATAATGGGGATGTGCTGGGGCCAGGACAAGTAAAAACCTGTGCAGCTGCAGGGAGGTGATCAGCCCAGGGTGTTTGGGTTGCTGTAAAAAGGCTCCTGGCCAAGGCAGGGTGCCCTGGGATGACTCTCAGCCAGGTCATGCTCTACAAGCCCTTGGATCTGCCCCTTTTTACATCCCAAAGGGAGCTAACACCAGCGAGGACTCTCTGGGTGCTGCCATGTGTCTGTGCTAACACAAAACCCCTTGTTTTCATGGAATTGTTTTCAGATCCAGCTCAATATTGAGAGAAGTGTGAAGGAGTTCACAAGCTCTCACGCCAAGGTTCCAACCTGGAATAAATTAGGAAGATCCTCAGCACGGAGAAAGGATTAAAATAAAATGGCAAGTTTCTCTTTCCTCTTTAGTCCAGACACAAAACTACTTGACAGTCAAGTGAGAGTTTTGGGATCTGAATTTTATTATATCAAAGGCAGACACAGAAATCTTATTAAGAGGAAAGGAAATGCAGAAGATTTGAGACAAGACTCTGCAGTAAACAACTGGCACATATAAGTTCTTAACTGTAAAACAGCCTGCAGCTCTACCCTGCATTAATACCTGCAGCTGAAACAGGGCCTTTGATCTTCAAAGCACTGAAGCATTAACTAATTAATTCACCCAAAATACCCTCTGAAGTCAATATTAGCAAAAAGACACCCCTTCTTTAGCCACGGAGGAACTATGACCCAGACTAAGTGATTTGGATAAAATCACTGATGGTTTTGGTGTCAAAGTTTTGAGCAAGACTGGGGCACCCCCAGCTCTCACCTCTTCAGACCACACCTTTCCAAGGGCCCAGAAAACTCAGTCAAGCTCAGAACTTTGATGACACACTGGAGATACCATCAGTGAACTTTTGATTGCTCAACCCTGACAGGAAACCAAACCCTCCTTAGTGTTCCCAGAAAGTTTCTGGATGTGCTGCTGCTTCCCCTGCACAGACTGATACAATTGGTACAATACAAACTGGTACAATTAATTAATTAATGTGTGACCAGAGATATTAAAGACACTGCACCTTCCCACCCTTGAGCCTTCATCAATCCCATGGTACTGACAGAAAAACCAGGAAAAAATACTGGACCACAAATTCTTGTCTAGAAAACAGAAATCCCTGTGCAGGAAACGCTTCCACTAGCTCATGCTTTATATTGAATTGTTTATTTTAGTGGAAGGAAATTTTCACTGCTGCTTCCCTACTATCCATGATGTGCTACCTGAACCTGAGGAAAAATGCTCCTACCTGTGTGCCCTTCCCAGTCTCTCATCCTTCCCCTCCCTCCCCAAAACGATGCACCTTCCAAATCAGCAGAATGTGTGTTACTGCTTTATGAGCAGGGGTCAAGTATGAGTCAAATTGAAGTCAGATTTTGCCTGCAGGCTGACCTGTGACTCCCAAGTCACTGCTGTTTACAGCTGATTTAATTTGGGAGAGGTGAGGAACCTGTTTGGAATTTTAGTTTCGTTTCTTAGAAGTGAAAAGTGGTGCTTTAAAAAAAACAACCCTAAGAAAACCCAAGGGACTCCATTAGAAGTTACTCATGAATGTTGGCAGCTTGGCAAAGGACAACACTGACTGAAATCAGGGCATGAGGAATCCAATATTAATGCTTTTCCCAGGAAAGTGGAAGGAGGCAAATCCTACCTGCTGCGGTGTTCGTAGCTGCCTTTGCACCGGAACTTGTGGGCTGGGAACACGGTGAAAATCCCTTCTTCTGAGCTGAAATATTGCCACTTAATTCCTGGGTTAGACTTCAGGTTATCAGCAAGGACTGCAGGGTGCAAAGGGAAAATGAAGCAGAGTTACAAAGGCAGCCCAGACTAAGAGGTTTTGTTACTCAGGGCCTCCTCTTGTTTGGAGAACAACCAGGGCCCAACATCAAACACAAACTGCTCTGCTTTGGATGGGTAAAACTCACTGGTAAAACTTCACTGATTTGCAAACAGTTCAAGACTTTTGGAAACTCAACACTGGATTTGACAGATTTTGTTTAATATGTGATGACAGTTCCTGAATCTCTGAAGTACACCCAGGTCTCCTGGGAAGGCAAAGCCAGAGTGAGGAAGGAAGAGATTAAGGCAATTATATATAATATATATACACCTTACATCTCCATGTAATAATAAATACATTGTCAACATCCTTTCCATAAAGGACAAAGCCTTCATGGTAGAAAATCCCATTCTTTTTGGTGGAATAATTCCAAAATATTAAACAGGTTTGGTGCTCACATAACCAACCTGTTGCTAGGGAAGGGAACAGATTCCATGGGCATTGGGAAAGAACAGATCCCATGGATATTGGGAAAGAACAGATCCCATGGACATTGGAAGGAACAGATCCCATGGACATTGGGATTTCTGCTTCACAGTGCAGTGGGAATGTCCCATGGACCTTGTCTGCTCTCCCTCCAGCCTGGATTGACTAAGGATGGATGTTTATCCATGGGATCACCAACTCTGCCACACCACTGATGTCAGGCAGCTCTAAGTCCTTTCAAACAAACCCAGGAGAGAGGGAATGGGAAATCATTGGCATGGGAGGCACAAACCCCCTCAGCACCACAGCAGGAGCAGGATTATTTTCCACTCAGGACAGAACATCCTCTTTGCTTGCAGCAGACTGAAAATAAAATCTGGATATTTGAAGTCTTTAGTTTTTACCTAGCAAATAAAGTGGATCACACCAGCTTAAAATGCGTGAAAAAAAGAAAATATTTCTTTGCCATTTCTCCTTTCATGTTCTTTGATTGCAGAACTGTCAGAGGGGGGCTCTGATTTCCAGTGCTTCACCTTTTGCTCAGCATTTCCCTTCAGCATTCCCTCAGGACTGGCACTGAAAATAGGCCAGTTTCATCTCCTGCATCTCCTTCATTATCAAACGGGTCAATATTTGGGTTGGAAAGGAGTGCAGGGCACATTCAAACCTTAGCCAGACACCCTACACCCAAACAGGCACACTGAGGACAGTGTGAGTTCCACATCCTCCACACTTTAACACTTCCTCAAGTTTCCCAGGCTGGCTGTGGCCACGATGTTCTCTCCACATCCAGCTCAGTGTAATTACCGTGCAAAAACCACTGGCCTGGCCTTTCCCCACTTCTCTTTGCCACAGAATTTTACACTTCCCACAGTGCCTACAAATCCCACTGGGATTCTGGGCTGGGATTGCTGAGCTCTGTCCAAAAATGCAGTTTTTCATAAGAACAATCCCCTGCCTTGATGGATCAAGGACAACCAGAGAATCCTCATTCTCCTCCTCAAAACCAAGTTTTTTCTCTGAACTGCTGCTTTCTCCTGCAGGCAGAAGGGCCATGAGACTATAAAACATTTAAATCCTTCTTTTTATGCCCAGCCACCAGGATTTCATCGTTCTGGGGGTAAAGTTGTTTTGTATAAAGAGGCTGAATTTCTGGTGTTGCAGTTTGTTTTGAGTTACAGAACTTGAAAAATGTAATTTCAAAGTTGACATGTGAACACTCAGTTAAAGCCTGGATGAAATAAACAGTCCAGTCTCATTTTACCAACATTACAGCAATAAAGGAGTTTATAATTTAAAGGCTTTGGCTTTTTTTAATCCTTGCTATATTAAAGATAAACTTCTCATTCCTGCAAGGCCACGAGCTGTATTTATTTCCCCACGAGAGTATGTGGATTTAAAAGTGTTCATTTTCCCCATAAAACAATTGGTTTTGAAACTCAAGCTCTGCTGTTCTTCCTTTTCACACAGTTGTGCTCATGTTTCCTCCAGCAAGTGTTAGCTCAGTAAGAGCCTCTCCAGGGACCACCAATTTTATCCTAACTCTGCTTTTCCCCCCATTTTTTTTTCCCTATGACCACAGCAGACAATCTCCCTGCAGATAAGCTATGGCTGAAAAATCCAGACTTTTTCTTTTTAAACACATTCTTATTTTCCATCCACTCAAGCTGTAAGAATGCCCTGCAGATATTTCCTCAATTCTTGCTCCTTGCCAGGATACACACTAGATGATTTTTTTTTTTTTTAAACCTAAATTTCACTTATCCCAAACTTTCCTCTAGTGCCTGTAGTTTATTCCCACCTCCTTCCCCCAGGAAAATCAGCCCTTGGACAGGTTATTCCATCAAAAGATCCCAATGAAAAGCTGATTCCTTAATTCCAGACA